GTCTGTCGGGTCAGAGGCTGAGAAACCACCAACAGTCTGAACATCTCGGCGTCTTACTGGACAGCAGCCTGTCGGCCGCACCGCATGTCCGACACCGCACGGCAAGAGCGCGGGCTAGCCTGTACAGCCTTGCGCCTGCCGGCATGCTGGCATCTGGGCTCTGTCCAGCAGATAAATGTTTTCTCTGGAAGACTGTGGTTCAGCCAGCACTGACGTACGGCTGTTCGTCCGCTCCACTCAACTCAGCTGACATCGAAGAGCTGCACGCCACTCAGACAGCGACCCTCAAGACGGCGCTGGGGCTGCCTCGCCGCGCCCACCACTCAGCGCTGCTCGCTGCTGCCGGTATCGCCCCAGCACATGAGCTGATTCGGTCGGCATGCTTCCGGGCTGCAAGTGGTGCTCTGCGGTCCGAACACCGTCTCCAGCAGGCATTCCTCTCGGGCCTGACGAAGTTGGCCATGTGCCCCGACTTGCTTGGCGACTCTCTTCTTCTCCAACTGTCCCGCATGTGCGGAAACGACTTCTCTGCCGTGCTCGAGGCAGCTGCCGGACGGTCGTGCAGTCACAGGGTGACGCCATCGCGCGCCCCAGACGGACTGGCAGATAGCATCCGCTTCTTGATGAGGGACAACAGCCAAGCTTCGCGTCGCCTACTACGACTGCTGACATGCTACGTCCCACCGGGGGCCGTGGCCCCTGTGACCTAAGCTCCGTGCTGACACATGACGGCATTGTCATTTCTGATGATTGTTTGTTATCAGCTGTCGGGAATTTGCCAATGTTTGGTGCAAAATAAATATGAATGAATGAATTGCTAGTCTTATCAATCTCTGAAAGTTTCAAAAGTGATCGTTCAGTCGTTGTAGCTATAGCGGGCCTTTAAACTTTTTTGAGGTAAGGCCACTTGACGTGCCCTGGTGACCTGACCTTGAACGACCCTGATCTGAAATTTTCACAAGCTGTGTAGAAAAGATGTATGAACAGGTGTACCAAAAACAGCGGCGCTGCGCGACGCCGTTTTTGAGATATTCGCGAAATAAACCTAAGGGGGTGGAACCCCCATTCCAGCACGGCGCAGATTAATGGGAGACAATTGAAATGCTCTTCTTCTGAACGAAAACAACCTCAAACATCGGGATTCAGGTAAATATGACACATTTAATCGGTAAATGTCACTCGTGATGTGACCACTTTTATGTTACTGAGGTCATCTCAGGTCATGAAAGGTCTCCAGTAGATTTTGGACAATAACTTTTGATAGAGATATGCTAGACCAATGAAACACCCTATACATATAATTATTTTCCTTCTCGAAAATATGGATCGACTAATATGCAGTATGACCTTTCCCGGTTAGGTGATGACCTTTACCTTAGGTCAAATTCTCAAATGCCCTTTTAATGTCAAATTCTAGTTATTTGCCTCGTCTGTCTCGAAAAATGGAACACGATGCTGGATAAACTAATCTCGTGCAGGTCTGAGCCAAAAGGTATTAGAGATAAACGTCCTCCGCGAAAAGTATATTTTGAGGCTAAAACGTTTACCTTAGGTCAAATCTGAGATATAATCAATAAGAGAGAGCATAAAAAGAGCTATCGAATATGCGCTTTGCTGCGGCGCTGTAGCTCAATCTCTTTCTGAATCCTGACATGCGCCGCTTTGTCGAAAAATGTCAACATCGGCGAAATTTGATTTTCGGTTGTCGCTGGTGACCTGACCTTTGACCAGTTCGACCTAACCTTAAAAATGATCTAAGTATCTTAAAAATGATATAAGCCTGGCTGCTGCATCTTGAAAAGGGCCCTTGGTGTCGATGAGAAAGCCCCATTGTCCAATAATTGCCTAGCGTCAGTGGTTTCGGGGGGGGGGGGGCTATCAATCTTGAATGGGGCGGGGCGACCGAAGTCTCCATTCAGTTTCGCGTCAGTGACTACTGGCGGGCGTCAACGACCTCGGATAGGGCGAATGTGATCTTCAGAAGGGCACAGGGTGCTCTAGAGGGGTGCAATGCTTGGATGGGGTCACTGCTGCCTTCAGTAGGGCGTCGGACGCTCGGGGGGGGGGGGGGCGCCATTGATCTCGGATGGTCCGACTGGGATTTTTAGAGGAGCATCAGTGGTTTCAGAGGGGCGCCATTGATCAAGAATGGGCCGACTGAAGTCCCGGTTCAGGTAGCCTCCTGTGGCTCTTGAGGGGCGCCAGCGACCTCGGATTGATAGGGCGACTGTGATCTTTAGAACGGCGTTGAGGAGCGCCATTGGGCATGGATGGGGCCACTGTTGCCTTCAGCAGGGCGCTGAAGGGAGGCCCTGGAGGGGCTTGAGCTTGGGTGGGCCGACTGTAGTCTCCAGGGGCGCTGTCTCGGATGGGGCGAATGTGATTTTCAGAGGGGTGCCGGGTAGTCTAGAAAGGCGCCATTGGTTTCAGAGGGTTGCCATCGATCTTAAGATGGGGCAGCTGTAACCTTCGTTTAGATGGGCGCGATCTTCAGAAGCGCGCCGGACGCTCTGGAGGGGCGTCATTGGGCTTGAATGGGGCGACTTAAGTCTCAAGCGGGACGACTTCAGTCTCAAGGGGGGGTGGGGCGCTAGTGGCTCTTGAGGGCGCTATTGATCTCGGATAGGGCGACTGTGATCTTGAGAAGAATGTGGGTGCTTTAGAGGGACGCCAGTGGTTTCAGGGCGCGCCATCGATCTTGGATGGGTCGATTGGGGCAGCTGTGAACTTCAGAGGGGCGCCGGGTGCTCTAGAGGGGCGCCATCAAGCTTTAATGGGGCGACTGTTCCGTTCAGGTGGGTGCCAGCGGCTCTTCAGGGGCGCCATCGACCCCGGGGGTTCGGAATATTCTGGTATCCGGAGGGGCGCCCTTCAACATTTGGGGGCTCAGGTCGTATTTGGGGGTGCCCTGGAGAACATTTAGGTGTCCAGGCACCCCCAAAGAGATATTTTGAGTTCGATCCCTGCCTGCACATCACTTTTTAATTCATGTTCTCTCTGTAAAACGGCATCAGCCTAGTCGGCGCTAATTGGGGCGCCATTTGGGCGGCTGGGCGGAAAGGGGGGGGGGGCATGGCCCCCATGCCCCCCTGTATACGCCACTGGCCTTGAGATGCACAGGTGTGGTGGCCCACAGAGGCACCGGTGTGGGGCCCCCAGAGCCACCGATATATGGCCCAAAGAGACACTAGTATGACCCTCAAAGGCGCCGCTGTGTGGCGCTCATAAACACTGGTGTGGAGCCATCACAGGCGGGTGGAGCCGTTAGAGGCCGGAAATGGCCCTTAGATGCCTACAAGGAGCCTTCAGAAGCCGGCGTGGCACCTTTATAGGGATAAGCGTGTCTATTTAGGAGCCCTTGAGCTGCTCTCATGAGCTCTGTGGGGCCCTATCGAGCCGAAATATGGCCACGGCCAGTTGCCGCCGCATGGCTCTTCGGACTATCATTCTCAGGGGCCTCATCTACCTAGTTTGAATAGAAGGGCCTCTCAGACCATCAGTCTCATGGGCCTCCTCTGGCTAGCATAAATAGAAGGGCCTGTTAGACCATCAATCCTAGGGGCCTCCTGACTCCTCTGGTTAGTATAAATAGAAGAGCCTCTCAGACCATTAATCTCAGGGGGCTCCTGTGGACAGTATAAATAAAAGGGCCTCTCAGACCACCAGGGGCCTCCCTAGAAAAGTGTAAATGTGGATAGAGGGCCCCCTCAGATTCATTAGGAGTGGACCTCTCTGACTATCAGTCTCAGGGGCCTCTTGTGGCCAGTATGAATATAAGAGCCTCTCAGACCATCGGTCTCAGGGGCCTCTTCTGACTAGTGTGGATAGAGGGCCCTCCCAGACCACCGGTTTCAGGGGCCTCCAGTGGCCAGTTATATGAGCAGAAGGGCCTCACAGCCATCAGCCTCGGGGGCCTCTTCTGACTGGTGTGAACATGAGGGCCTCTCATACCATCAGTCTCAGGGGCCTCCTCTGCCTAGTGTGAATATAAGGGCTTCCCAGGCCATCAGTCTCAGGGGACTCTTCTGACTGGTGCCGGATTGAGGGACCTCCCGGACCGAAAATTTTGGAGGTCTTCTGTAGCCAGTATGAATAGAAGGGCCTCTCAATCCATCAGTCTCATGGGCCTCTTCTGCCTGGTGTGATTATAAGGGCCTCTCAGGTCATCAGTCTCAGGGGCCTCCTCTGACTACAGTGTAGATGGATAGGCCTCCCAGACCATCAGTTTCAGGGACCTCTTCTGACTATTGAGGATAGAGGGTCCTCCTCTGACTAGTGAGGGTAGGAGGCCTCGGCTAGACCGCCAGTGTCAGGGGCCTCCCCAGACCAGTATGGATATTGGGGCCTCCTCAGATCCACGAGGGCCTCTCAGGCCATCAGTCTCAGGGGCTTCGACTGACAAGTATGAATAGAGGGCCTCCTTGGATCCATCACGGCCCCTTGGAGTCCGTGCGTGGGGATTCGTGGAACTTATTTTTACCGAGTTTGTTTATTCTGGAAGGTGACGACGTCCTCTCAAATCGAGACGAGGGGCCTCGAGTAAAAAGTGGGTGGGCCAAAACACATGGTTCCCCCCCCCCACCTCGAAAAGTGGGTGGGCACTTGCCCGCCTGCCCCCCCCCCCCCCTGTTCCTACGCCTATCATAGACATATTTTCATAATTAACCTTGAGCTTGGGCAGTCACTCGTGTTCCCATAAACTGCTAAAAACGAATGTGCCCCATGCACGAAAGTGCCCCGCTCTCCCCTACCCCGTCCCACCAATGCACATGCAGGGTTCACATTCGCGCTCGCTCATTTATCGCCCCAAAAGGTATCTTACTGGTTTTAGTTCCGAACAACATAGAAAATAAATGTTACATTTCAGGTAAGAAAAAGGCGAACAACTAAAAGTACATAAAAATTATATAGCGCAGAAATCGGCGGCAATCTGCATATCATGTTATATTGATAGCATGTTTCTGATGCCTAGGTCCTTTTAACCCATGCCCAATACCAACCTGGGCCCATTCGGCGAGCACGTGGCCCACCACGGAGCGCTGCAAGGCCGACACAGAGCCGAGATGAGCGCTGAGCAGGCTCACATAGGAGGTGAGCGGTGACATGTCCTCGTAGCTGGCACCTGGCGGCAGAGGCGCACCGGAGCCGCGTCACTCACTGCCCAACTGACACCCAGTTCACCACATAGCCACTGCCCCACTCAGTGGCGTATCCAGGTTCTTGAAAAGGGGAGGTCAAACCTGCTCAATGCACAGTGGGGATTTTTCCGATCTAGCGCGTCTCAATTCCAAAACCTTTTTTCGGGTTTTGTTTATTTTTTTTTGTGTCAGAGGGGCTAAGAAATGTCTGAATTTCTCATAATATGGCATTGTTTTATATGTATGCCCACAGCAAGACTAGGGAAAAATGCGCACAAAGTTCACACTCATGCGTGATTACTCAATGGGCTCAGTAAGGCCCGAAAGTATAGCTCAATTTCATTGTCCTGTCCTGTTGGTTTTATTCTTGCGAGGTTTTAAAGTTGCATATCTTCTGAAAGGCACCTTTATTAGGAATGGAATGGCAAACAGAAAGTATGCAACAGCCTTACTAAGGTCACAAAAATGCCATTAACAAAAAACCCTTACAAACACCATATTGAAGGAATGGTATTCTAAATAAATGTAGGAAATTAACAATGTTTTCTACACTTTTCCACTCCGAAACATATCCTATCGAATTTGTCACTTTCTCCTGCACAAGACAACGCCTAGTTTGGCTGCCAGAACTTGCCTGAACACGAAATATTCACATTAGAGTATCTTAAAGGGACACTCCCACCTTAACATTAGTTTTGAGTTGAGATAGCCAAATTGGTGGCCATGGCCTGCAAATACCGGTTTGGGCACTCACAACATCGAAAAATGCTTTATTTCGAAGATATGGAATTTCAAACTTGCAGTTTTCGGATTCTAAGGGGTTAATGCATTGGAATGCCCCCTTAGAATTTGTGACGTCAGCGGAGATCTAACGATTTTTAAATCTTAGACTAAAACCATCGTTAACACGTGGTGGTATACGCTGCTTTGCGCGCAACGTCTGCCGCACTTTAAGGCTGCCAAATTATTGCTTCCAAATAAAGTCGCTAGTAACAGGGGAGATCCCAAAAAGTAAACAAAAGTAAAAGCCTAATATCTTGAAAACCAGTGAATATTTGTCGGTGAAATTTGGTAGATATTCGTTTTCGCTCTTTCTGAACCAAGCGACATCACTTTCATGCCAATTCATTAACTTTTTTGAAGGTGGGAGGGTCCCTTTAACCCTCGCATGTGTAGGGGGGGGGGTCGGATGGACCCCCCATGGTTTTTCGCGAATAACTCGCGTAAAAAGCGGCCGATCGCGACGAAACTTTCAGTACCCTCGCATTGATCAATTTTACACCTACCCTGAAAATTTCATGACCCTGACCCAAATGACCTTTGACCTGTGACCTCTTTTCCGAGACCATGTTTGGCCGGAATCGCGATTTCGCGTATGTCGGCTCGCACTAGCCGCGTGTTTGCAAGCTTTTCGTGGTTTCAAACGTTCAAACATGTGATTTGATGTTACTCCCGTGTGTGTCAAGATCACCTGAAGGTCAGGTCAGGTCATTGACCTTTGGTGACCTCGGGTGACCTCGGGTCACTTTTTCGAGTTTTACATGTTTCTAGGCTAGTTTTTGGAGCTGAATTCGAATTTAGCAACCATTTGAACATTTACGAAGTAGTTTTGGTGACTTCGTAACATGTTACGAAGCTGTCAGAGGCGGTTGACACGTACTACGAATACCCGTCACGACGCCTACTGGTTGACCTGACCTGACCTGACCCGACCTGGTCTAAATGCTTCAAGACATCATCTGTGATCAAAACTAACACGATATTCGTGATCAGCACCCCGAAAACCCCTTAGCAGCCACACTTTACGACTTTCTAACAGGTCCCGATTTTCCCGACTTTGGGTCATTGACCTGACCTGGAAGGTCAACCAATGACCTAGGACCTTAAAATTGGGTATCATCGGCTTCCTCTCGTCACGGGCAACACGCTCGTTTTTTCCGCGAAGCTCTAGCTCGATCAGGGGCCAAACGGCAAGGGGGGGGTCCAACCGACCCCCCCCCCCCCCTACACATTAGAAGCTGGCAAACGCCGCACACATGCGAGGGTTAACCCTCGCCCGGCGAGGGGGGGGTTGATGCAACCCCCCTCCCTAAGGTTTTTCGCAAATAACGTAAAAACGGCGGCGCGTAGCGCCGTGAAATTTGGCACACCCTCTGGGGCAACATTTTCGCACCTTTCCTGAAAATTTGAAGTCCCAGTCTTTTCAGGTCAGGTCACCAGGTCACGAAAACCGGTACCAGGTCAGGGTAAAATTGGACTAGCTTAGCGGCAACTGAATTCCAGGGTTCACTAAACTAAAATTGGTAACAAAGTATATCATTCGATGCGCACGGACGTCCTAAGTTCACTGATGCTTTTATTTTTGTTCTATCTTTACTAGGTAAAAAGTTATAAGCGAAAAACTTTTGACATGTTTTAGCAAAAATTTTGCACTCATACCCCCCCCAAAAAAAAACCCTAAATATTGACTTAGAGTCACTAAACTTTCACAGGGGCGAGATCTTCTATGGACCCACCTACCCTGTAAAGTTGGCGTTTCTAAGTGCCATAGGAGCCAATCGCGAGGGGGGTCGTATCACCCCCCCTCGCCGTCCGTGTTATGGAAAAGGCCCTCGCCTGGCGAGGGTTAATACCCCACTCTAGGAGCGCTAGGGCAAACAACACGATATAGGTATGTTCCGAACAAAGGCGAATAATTTTACTTGGTGATTTATATGATGCATATTTTCTGAGACACATTCATTAGGAATAGGATGACAAGCATATAAATTACACATACCGTAACCTTATTAACCCTCGCACTTGTGGGGAGGGGAGGGGGAAGAACCATGAACCACCAAAGGAGACTCGTCTACTGCCCGGCCGACTTGTTGCCCAGGCCTGCAGGCCGCCACTGAGGCTGCCGTTGTATAGCGACGCCGGACATCCCGAATATGCCACGGGACGTCATTGACTTCCACGACTTGGTCGGATACCAAACGTGTTACGACTCCGCTTAATGACGTTTCAGAGCATCGGGTGCCACGACGTCTAATCCACACCGCATCTCCCACAGCATACGGTGCTGGTGGTGAATTCTGTGCGGCATCTTAAGATGTATCTGGCCGTATCTGCGCTGACTTCACATAGTCTCTAACTGTGTAGCGATACACAGCTTCAGCTGGACTCCTCACATGTCGCTGTTCCTCATCCCGCGATGACACGTTGTATAGGTGTACAGCTTCAGCAATGGAGCATTCCTTGCGTGCAGCGATCACCTTGACCGTCCGGTGGGAACGCTCCACAATTCCGTTTCCACTGGGCTCATAGACCGCCCTGAACCTCAGTTTCACATTCCACCGCGCAGCGAATAACGCGAACTCTCGGCTACGAAAAGCAGTACCATTATCGAGCAGCAGCTCCAGGGGCGCCCCCCCCCCCCTTTCAAAGAACACCTCCTCCAGGTGCTCAATCACAGCGTTCGAGTCCAGCTGGCGCAGCTGCTTCCATATACTGAAGCGCGAAGGGCCGCAATCCGTGATTGTCAAGTAGTGCCTTTTCCGATGATGTGTCACATCCAGATCCAGTCGATCCCACGTGTTTGACACTGCCAGTGAACCGTGCGCCACTTCACAGGAGCCGGGTCGATGGAGTTACAGACGTCGCACTGCCTCACGACGGATTGCACCTGAGCTCGAGTCACGCTCCTTGAAAGTTTTCTACGAGCAGAGTGCAGCGTTTTACGAACCCCTGGGTGGCCGGCCTGCTCGTGCACACATTCAATGGTTGACTGCAGCTGCTCAACTTCTGTTCCGTCCCGAGCAGCAGCACCAGTCAAAACTCCGCACAATCGGGTGCCGCCTGCTGAACCATCACAGCTCACCGCATCGTCTACGGCAGTTTCGTCACGTACACAGTCCTTTGGAACGCGGGTGAGGTCGTCCGCGCGGTTCTCTGCTGACGGAACAAGCCGGACGGACAAAGACAGCTGAAACTCCGAAACAAGTTGCATCAAATCCACCCGCCGGCGGATGAGCATCTCACCATGAGCTTTGGTGCGCAGACGGGCTCGTCCGCTGAGTGCGTCGCTCATCCATTTGTGCACAGTTGCAGAATCAGTTTGAAGGGCAATGCTCTTCATTCCCCAGGCAATTGCCAGATTCACACCACGGAGAGCAGCCTCCAGCTCAGCCATGTTGATGTGGGTGGATGTGTCTGCTCTAAGCTAGCAAGCATCTTCTACCACCGCGCCTTCTGGTGATTCCACCACAACTGTCGCGGTGGAACTGGCGTCCACCCAGACCGTTGTCTCGTTTCCGGTCACACGCCACGGTCCTCTGGCCGGATCCTCTCTTGTCACCCGGCCCATCACAGACCTCACTTGCTCTCTGAGAGTAGAGTCTTCTGTGACATCATCTTAGCCACGTGTGAGTGCATTTACTCGTCGTTTCAGCCATGCCACAGCTGGCCGTAACCATCCGCACACTGGAAGGTGTGCAACCAGCTTATCACGCCATGCGAAGACCGACCGCCTAGTCAGCTGATCAGGAGGTGGTTCCACTGGGTTGTCACGTCGCCATCGCAATTCCCCGTCGGCCGACACAGCCACCCGTAAACCGAGCAGACGAGCCCCATCATCATCATCTGTATGCCCCATAAGGGCATACATGTATGCGAGCTGTATGCCCCTATGGAAACTGTTAATTTGGCGTCGGAAATGATCTGAAACTATACCTCAAGCACATGAAATCGTGACTTCATACATTCTTGGCAAGGTCTAATGCTTCGCTTTTGCATTGTTTACCTTGCGTGGCGTCATTTATGACGTCACTAGGGTCATAGGAGTGATTCGTCAATAACTCCCGATCAAAATGAGCTAGCCAGTCGGGACAACCATCAATCGACTTTGCAAGACTTGCCGAATCAAATGTTATGCAACATGTCCTCCTTTCAACAGCTTCGTGACCTGTGTTGCCCTAACATGACATTGACCTGAGGTAAACAT